AGCATGGCACTTGGTGCAAGTGAACAGTCACCCTCTATGAAACAAGAGCTACTCACCAGGTGCACTCTGTGAATACCGATACTCTGGAACTGAGGCTAACTTTGACCCAAAGTCGTGATCATGTGGAATGGGTGAGCCCTCCCGTGACAGGCACTCTGGAGTCTGTAGGCCACTAGAGTGAGGGGACAGCAGGCCAGGGTGAGTAGGGGAGGCAGGAGCACTCCTGAAACACCAGAACGTAGTGTTGGCAAGTGTAGATGCATTTCAACCACAAGACAGCAGCAGAGACCAAGAGTTATCTCCAGTACAGGATTCTCTAGAAGTACAGCCTTTCTTCCACACTACCCACTATAGTCTTGCTGGGAAGAGTTGAAAAGGTACACAATAACCTCATAAACGCTCTAGCACCAAATACTGTCATATTATTCCTTGGTGAAGGAAACTGGACCCTTCAGAGTATGCTTAACATTCCATTTTAAGACCCAGTGCTGACAAAGAAGCTATTCAGTGCCTCACGTTCCGATCAGTTTTATAATTTCAGGACATTCTCAAAGGATCTTTGTCAGTGTTTGAGAGTGACAGGGAGAGGAAGAAAGATGCAATGGAGATGCAAGTGTCTGGATCCACATACAGAGAAGCTGTTCCCCCTTCTCCCCATTGCCTCCCTCCCCAGCCACTTAGTTCCCACCTCCGGTCCCACACGGCCACCAAACACATGAGGAATTGAACATTTCCTTAACGACAAACAAGATAGAGAAGCTGATCAGTGGAAAACCTCTCCTCCTGTTTCCCCCCCATTTTAAAAGACAGAAAAGAGGAGGTGTGGGAGGAACGTTACACAAAACTGCTCCAGCTAGCGTTGCATTGCAAGTCTTACCCTCATAGCTACAGGGCTCAGAGAAAGCTGTCATTGCACACAGCTCCTCTTTTGCAGTCACACCACTGACTGGAGCGGCTACACAGAACACCCCCCGCTGCTTCACTGCTGACAACCACGATCAACCCGATCTTCCCTATAGGAGAGTGTTTTAAATACCACAAAAGTTATTCCCACTACAATCTAATCCACATCTAAACACAGCTTTCCTGAAATGAGAGATTGGCATCTGAAAACACTTACTCCAGCTAACTGCTTTGCATTTCTTTGAAATGATGCCAAAACAGATACATTTTTGATGCATTTTTGTAGTTTGGTTCTGGATTTATTATTTTTTTTTTGGTAAACACTTAAGAAGTCGGAACAATTTTCAGATTATGCCTCAGGACTATCTAACTATATTACCTCTCAAACTATAAACAGAAGTAAAGTTTGCTCACTGTACTTCAGGAGAAGTTTTTGTTTGTTTTCTTTGTAATGAGTTTGGCACAGAGATTAGAGGAAGCTGAAGTTACCTGGAGGAGAGAGGCCCAAAAGGTGTTCGGAAGCAGGACACTCCTCTTTGCCTTCGTTTTCTAAATGCTTGCTCTACTAGTTTGGCTTCAGAGGCAGGGTCAATTCGCCAAAAGGAGCCCTTTCCAGGCTCCTCCTGGGAGCGTGGGACTTTAATAAAGTAACGGTTCAAGGAGAGGTTGTGCCGAATGGAATTCTGCAGGAAGCAGAGGAATGAGATGATTATTTTGCCATGAGGAAGCATACAACAAAGACAAATGGGTTTCACCACACAGCTTCGAAAAATAAAATCCACACCAGAATCCACATCAGAATCAGCGTTGAAGACAGAAACAAGTCACTCAACTCACACAGCTCCAAAGTCACAGGCAAGCTGCAAGAGAAAACCTGGGGAAACGTGTCAAGAGTTTCTCCTAACTATACTGAATGATGAGTTTGCTTGGTACTACACCATCACTTAAATACACCTGGAGCCAGGCAGAGCAGTGACTTTTCTGTGGAAAGCAATGAAAGCAGATCTTTTGCTGAGGCAGGGGGAAATCACTGTAAACCACATCAAAACTCTCTCAAAAGACAGGCTTTATTCTAAGCAAGCGGAAAAAATTGCCTGAGCCTGTGCTAACCGCTTACCTGCCAAACAATCACCGGAGTGCCCAAACATGCCCTAAAGGACACTGCATCTCATGGTAATCATCATGCAAGCCAGCCAACATGCCCTCAGACAGCTGTCTCTGGGAAGAATCCATTAGCTATGTGGCACTAGTCTAGCACTGTACAGCTCTCGAGATGTTCACAAGACTATTTACCCTTCTCATTTCAAAAGCCCACCTCTTACTGGGTGTAGCGCTGTCTTTTGGGCTACGGGAAAAGCCCGGTAAGCCCTGGTGGGCACAAGCTCATTCCTCTTCCACTTTCAAAACAAAACAAGAGCTTTTGTAGCAGCTTTAGACAAGCTCTTCACAAGTGAAGCCTTACAATGCCACTGGTAGGGGAGAGGAAAAGGCAACTTCACCCTCCACTGAAATGCAGCTCTCTTTGAAGCAGGACACAGCAACTGGTTCGCAAAGCGCAACTCTGCTGAGCAGGTTAAGGCAGGAAGTGAATTCCACAACTAATTACAACTGCAGGGAAAAGCCAGGGAGGCAGAAATGTATTTATTCCAACTGTACTCAAAGTGCACCAAGCAGTACTGCTCCTGCCAGTTGAACACAATGAAATCAGCAGCTGCAAGAGTCTTTCCAGATGCATTAGTGTATTATATTCAAATGACAACACCCATTTCAGAGGTGTGATGCCAAGAAAAAATCTGAAAGCAGGTGGAGCTGAGGTTTCTGGAACTTTGAAAGCAGCCCTCAAGTGAACAGTTAAGCTTGATTTAGCATGTGTTAACTACATCCAAACTCTCCTATGAAGCTGGTCAGATTTCCTTTAACACCACACGGAAGGCACAGACTTGAAGTTCCCGAAGTTCCCATTCTGAGATTCAAAACTTGCAAACTGTGACTTAAGCAATGCAGTTGATACACTGGGAAAACAAAACATCTCTGATGGTTTAAGGTATTATTATGATTAAAAACTGGAATCTCACTTTAAGGCTGGATATCTGCTTGGACAGATCAAGGTGAAGGATTAAGCAAGATTCAGGCAAGTTATCTGGGCAGAGGACTGACTGATAGCAAGGATGTGGAAGAATAAAAGTAAACAAAAATGAAACACACATGACTACAGAATTAAAAGAGTTTCAGAAACCAGAGAGCCCAATGGTAACACACTACATTGCCCTAGAAAGTATTTCAAAAACTAATCACCCACAAACAAACTAGTTAGCTTATGTTAAACAAATTCACTCTGGGAATAGTCAAAGCAGCTCTATTCCCAGTGCCCCAAATCTTTAATAAACGCATTTCAAAGCAGATAAGCCCTGTCAAAGTAGTTTAAAAGCTTGTCATTGTCAAGAACTCACCTGCCAGCCTTTGTCAGCAGTTCTGTAATATGGATAATGCTTGGTAATGTGGGCATAGATCCCACTTAGTGTTAATTGCCTGTCCTGTGCTGAAGATATAGCCTGCACAATTAGCTGAGCATAAGAATAGGGTGGCTTGGACTCATCCTAAGGAAAAAAAAAAAACAAAACAAAAACCAGAAACTTAGTCACTAACAAAGAATTCTTACTCTAGAGTATACCAACAACCCTAACCAAAACAGGAAATTGGGCTGTAGTTTTACAGGTGGTAAGAAAGCATCAGGGGCAACTAAGAGCAGCATCACCGTCTTCCCTTTCACTCCCGTTTTATCCTGCCACCTCCCAATTTAGTACAAGCATTTGTGCACAAACAGGACTATAGGACCGAGACAGATTAAAGTATCTCCTTCCCTCTCCACACACACACACAAGCTAATTTTAATCTGATTCCAATTACCACTAAATTTACCACATGTGCTTATACCAGCACAGGAAAAAGATTCAGGACAAGCAATTGGAAGTAAAGAGTTAGAGGGTGCAGGATACGTTCACTGCTTTCAGTGTTCATGAAACTAAAGCTTTCAATTCTGCCCAGCTACAACCCAGCCTTGTTAGAAAAGTTTTATGCAAGTATGCCACCAGCTCTCCTCCCAGCAACAAGCCCAATATGAAACTCGATCCTGTCCCTTTCCCTCTGCAGCAGGATTTGTTTCATTCTAGGAACTTTAATTTGTTTGCCAGATCTCATATTCCCAGCTCTTCATATTACTCCATCAAGAACAGCCCTTCTTGTCTCAAGGGAGAATTCAATCTACAGAAAAAGCCATCTAGTACTGTGTTCCTCCACCCAATCCCAAATCAGGTGGTTTTGGATCTAGACCTTTAACTTTGATCTGAAGATCAGCTCACCAAAATTAAATTTTATCATTATAACTAAGTTATTTTTTAATCTAAATTCCACTTGCTACTCTTCTCATTTAACACTTGCTTGACAGGCCTTTGTGTTTGTTTTAAAGTCAGACTACAGATTTCTCATAGCCAGGATCTGATTTCTTCCCCTGCTTCCCCTTTCTCCAACTGTGTTTTGCAAAATACCATTAATTAAAAGGAGAAAACAAGACTTTGAATTTTAATGTAACTCTTCTTTATGGGTTCTTGATTTATCAAACAAGCAGAAGCATTCTTCTCGCTTAACCCTTTTAATGAATGACTTGAATACATTTTGGGCAGTTAAGCACTAGCAGATTTATCATCTACCACTAATAAGACACTGGTTTTAAGGCACGGTCTCAAAAACCTGGAGGATACTGTATACAGGCGCCCTTATGGCCAGGGGATTCTTAGACCCCTTTTAACTAAATCCAGCACTGGTAATAAACTGCCAGGTCTTAATAAGCCTCTCAATGAGCACTGCTGGGTAAGTAATGTTTCTCTGAACCTTTGGGCTGTCCCCGCCAGATGCATCTGCCTGCTGTTCTGATGCTGCTTTTGCGGCATACTCTGCTGCCAGCTGCAGATCCGAGGTAATGTTGTGAACAAAACGATATCCTGAGGATCCAGCACCACGTGGACTGGCCGGGCAAGAGTTGGGAACACTGGAAAGGCAAAAAGGAATACAGTTATTTGTTACTTCATTTATTAACAAGACACATAGTTCTTATTCTCTAAGGTACAATAAAGCTCCCAGGTCACTGAGAAGCAGAAATGCACTGGACTTATTTTTGCCCCTGCGGCTTATCCAAAGCCCAGACACATCGAGAGAAAAACAGAGATAAAATTGGAATTTCTACAAAATCCTGACACCCCTCCCACCCCCACCTCCCTTTCCACAATCACAAGACAGTAAAGTCTCAAAGTATTAAACATCTCCTCTGTGTTTAGAGAAGCACTTAAAACAACATACACTGTATCTGGGATGAATACTTAACTAAATAAATAGCTTGCTATTCTAACTTGTGAATGAATGAAAAACACACCACTCTCCTTATAACACAGGCAATATTTAACCAATCCTTTTAACAGATACGTGTTACGTTCTTGTACAGTATCACAGTTAAAGCACCCGGTGCAGGGATCTGCCATGAGGGTCCCTTTCTAACACCACACACGAGCTTCAGAAGATCATACCCTAATCGCTGCCACACGGTTAGAGGTGGGGATTTCCTTGATTTACCAGCACGCAAACACAGCTAATAAAAGGGAGCTGCAATCACTAACATCCAACACAGAAGGTAGCTAGCTCACTCATTAGCTTTGGCAAGCGTGGGGAAAAGACACAGTCAGAGTCCCAGGGCCACCACAAGGTGGCATTACAGGAACAACTACTGAGCAGGAAAGCCATGCTAAAGCTGATTAAAAGCTACAAACAAATAAAAGGTCGCTGTAATTTGCTGCACCACTCAGACACACAGAAGCAAGTGCTACAAGATGAGAACTAATCAGAAAGGCTTGTCTAGGGATCACACATCCTTGATTTGCAGGGTAGGAAGGACGGGAGGAGAGGGATGAGGCTGGGAATCTGAAGTTCCCTTTTTCTGTCTCTCCTCCATTCTGCACTCCCCGGCGTCGAGGGGTGCAACGCCACCGCGGTGTGAGGCATAGCCAAATCCCAGGATTACATATGTCTTCTATGTAATGGCAGAGAAATAGTGAACAAGAAAGCAAAACAATACACAGAAGATCTATGTAGCCAAACAAGCAATTCAAATAGCATGAAGATGCAAATTGAAGCCCACAGCTGGGAACCAGAATTCAGTAAAACTGGCATAAACAATCCTCATACCACTCAAATGCCCAACAGCAATGCTAACCCTGACACAAATAAATGCAGTAACTGACACTCATCACAGCACCGTGCTAAATGCTGCATGAAAAAACACAGAACACAGTCCCTTCCTCAAAAAGGTGATTGTCTAAATAGCTTCCCCCCCCACGCAAGAACACAGGCAGACGAGAAAGGAAAACGC